AGAGGAGTGGATTAGTGTATGTGTTCAGAAGTCGAGAGTGTCCATTCGATGATAGTGATTTGTGAAATGTTACAACAAGTTGTATAAAGGTCAAATAAATTGGATCATCGACATAAAAACCCGTTTTATAAGTCAAGCAAACTACGTTAATCTAAAATTAGAAGACGATATGAATATACTAGTATATATAGAAGCAGTAAAAAACAAATTAGAAGAGTCGAGAAAATTATTATTAAGATTTCCAAATTAAGCAGGGCTAGACGGAGGAGATGTAAAGAAAACATCTTACAGGAGAGAAACGCATGCAACTTTTCAGTCGTAAATCCCGAAAGAAGCGTACCACCTCGAAGACATAGGTACTGATCGGAGAATAATATTAGAGTATAACCTTAAGAAGTATGGTGAAAGGTTATGGGCCTGTTTCATCTGGCTCAGAACTATTCTCAGTGGGAGGGTCTACTGGATACGGATCTATAGGAAAGGCTCGGAATTCTTAAATTTAGCAGCTAAATTAATTGTCCAGAAATGAAAGGATTTGAAGTGAGTATGTGTTCTTTCTAATGTCCACCTGACTTAAATACCTCAACACAAATTTTAGAGTGTGGTTCAAATATACATTCACACAAGCCGATTTAACCATGTCTTTATCTGAGAGTTGATTTATTCTATTCTGTCCATGGTTCTAATTTTCAAAGGACTTTCTCTGAAATTTCTATCTGTTCTGCGAAATGTCCTATGCAAGGGTAGAATTTCGTTCAGGACGAAGTTAAGGAAAACGTAAATTTAAAATAATCTTATTTAATTCGCTGTTTGGTAACAGAATCGAGTAAACAATTTTGATTGATAAAAATTTAATACATGAATAAGTATGAAAGGTTGTTATAATTCTAGAACACAAGTTTAATTATTCTTGTAAAATAATATGTTGATGTAGAATTACCGTATAACCGTCGTTTAGACATTGCTTCATGCGGTTAACGCGAGCCTAATTTAGGGTTTATATAACCAAAGATTAGAGACAGCATTTCATGTAAACACTGTAGTCCTTTCGGGCTACTGACCTGTCCTAAATAAGTACACTCCACGATTAAAGAATTGTTGTTTTCTCATCTAATCATATCTAGCCTTGCTACAAACGTCACTTGAATCTGTTTATGTGTTCTCGACTAATGATTCTTCCTTCACAACAGCGATCATAATGATGATTGATCTACTGTCGAGGAGAAAGCCAAGTAATAAAATTAAAATAACTTTAGCTGAAGACGAAGAAAACAGTAGTGAGGCACAGGATAAGCTGCGAATGTAATCAGAATAGTTCAACAGACATTTCTGATCGATATCCTTAACGTTTCTGAACAAATTTTTGTCTTAAAAGAAATAAAGAAAAAATCTGGCAGATGGACAAAATTAAGCGGGTTGTTTGTGCCATGTTGACAACACGTGAAACACTGCTGAAAGGACAGACATGATTTAAACACATTTTCACCGGATTTTATGTTTCATCTTTAGATGCAATTCAATGCACAGTGAGACTGAGATCCCGTATTTGCTGAGTAGTAGTTACAGATCAATTTTAGAACAAGAAATTAGGATATTGTTTATTGAGGCCCATGACCATTGGGACTGCTCGACGTACACAGATCGGATAAATGTACAGAGCTAAAAATAATATTTAGGATTTTTCATTTGGATGAGCCATCCGTGGGCTTACTAATCTGGTGACTCAACAATTCCGCATGCATCTCTTTTTTCTGTGTTATTACGAAGTAAGGAAGGGAGCGAATGAAAGTCACACACAAGACTTCTTATTTTCAGTGTTTATGCCTGTCAATCTTACCATCCGTCGGTAATTTTTTTTCTCTTCGACGAAGCTACCGCAATGACTGTTAAGAAAACAGTGACGTAAACTTCGGTTAGTAAGAACCGTCATATACAGAGCTATATTACTCACGCTTCCTACATAATTTATGGCTGCAGGCATGCCTCCTCCTACTGTATACCAGTTGTGCGAAGTTACGAGTTTGTAGAACTAACATACATACTTGCTTCGATTAAGCGTTCGTGACCTCTGTTGGCCTTGTAGCACTGTTGGATGTAGTCCCATTACTTTCTTTAGCTTGCTTACTTAGGAACCGAGACAAAATATTTAGAAGCACCCCCACGATCTCTAAAGAGAAGTCATGTAGCCCGTGGATATTTCACCTGTTTACTCCCAACCTCGCGATTATCCCAGAAGAGACACGGAAAATTATTTGGGATATGAGGTTCCAGCAGCGGTAGTTATAAGGAGTTCTGTCTTCTCTGATATAACGTCGTGTAGTCGGTTGAAAACCAAACGACACTTCGGAGGAATATATCACTTCCACGTTCAAGGTCCAAAAACAAATCGAGCAAGAAACCATCCTGAAAGTAGATGGGAAGGTCTCCTTGACAAGTTCCTCCGAAATACCGGTTGACTTTCGGTCGATCGGTCGGTAATACTGTTGCTGGTCCTGGCCAGCACAATCATTCTTGGTTCTAAGTCCCGCAAGGCTCATTACCATGTTTTACTGTCTTACGACTCTGGAAGTTGTGCAGCTCTCTCAGTTCCCTTGACTTTCCACAAATTACACTACAAACTACTCGTATTTCCCAGAAGATGTAAATGTTCTTGGAAAATGATTGCTCTGAAAGTTGCAAATGTGAAGGGTTTTCTGCATTTGTAATTATTCATATTAAAACAGAGAGAAAATTACACCGCTTATTTTTCTTTCTGAAAGCAGCACATTAACAGACGTGTACATGTATACGATCGCCCCTGTGGTATAGTGGTCAGCCTTCCTGGCTACAGTTCTAGAGGTTCCGGGTTCGATTCCCGGCGCTTCCAGATTTTCTGAGAAGTAGTGGGTCTGGAACGGGGTCCACTCAGCCTCGTGAGGATAATTTAGGAGCTATTTCAAGGAAATAGCAGCTACGGTCTAGAAAACTTCCGAAGCGTCTGTGTGAGCGTGGCAAACATATGCCGTGGCTTCTTTGCACTTACTCAGGTGTCCCTCCCGGCTAAATACGTATTCACTGGCTTTCATAAATAAATAAACAAAGAAATATAAAATTAAATACACATATACCAGCTTAAGTATGTGTAATATATACGTGTGTATAACGTACTTGAAATAATACAGAGTGAGAATTCATTCCTTCATTGATTAAGAAAATTCATAACATGAAAATCTTCCTAGATGGAAGCATACGGTTTGTAGCATAACGTAGGCCAAACCTTAGAATTTTCTATTATACAGTTGCACAACCTGTGTATGAACTTGATATATCTGCAATTGTCAGTATCAAAATGGGGGTCTATGAAAGAGAAAACCCAGTGTGTCTTTTGGTTTCATGAAAAGAAATCGCCTCTTACAGTTCAGCGAAACTTTAGACTTGAGTATGGGCAATATCCGCCAGACGTTAAAAGCATCACAGGTTGCCCTGTAAAGTTTAAAGAGACTGGCAATGTTGGTGACCGTAAAAGAACTGGTACGCCTAGCGTGAGTAAGGAGACTGTAGACGCTGTGTGTGATGCTTTTCCACGCAGTCCGCGGAAGCCAACTCGTCGTGCCTCACATGAACTTCGCGTACTTCAGAGCACAGTGATAAACATTTTGCACAAACGGCTGAGTTTATGAGCATACAAAGTGCAATTCGTTCAAGCTTTGGAGCCAGATGATCATCCCCGACGTGCTGCTTTTGCTACGGAGATGCTAGAACGAATTGATGAAGACAATGATTGCTTTACGCGTGTTTGTTTTTCTGAGGAGGCTGCCTTTCACACTTTGGGGGAGCTAAACAGACACAATGCCCGCTTTTGAGAGTTAGAGAACCCATGTGTTGTGTTAGAGAATGAGTGAGACAGCCCCAAAATTAATGTTTGGTGGGCCCTAATGCATAACAAGTTTATTGGACAATTCTCTTTTCTGACTGCACCATTTCAGCAATCTTTTGCCTGGACATGATGGAGCTTTATGCAACACCTCAGTTAGAAGAATTTCAGCCATGGATAGTTCTCCAACACGATGGTTCACCGCCACACTGGGGCTTACTTTTTCGTTATTTCTTGGATGCAATGTTTCTAAACCAATGGATTGGGAGGGTAAGTCCAACACCATAGCCACCACGTTCACCGGACATTACCCCTACGGACTTTTCTTATAAGGGTTCGTTAAGGACAAAGTGTATTTGACAACAGTTCTAGACATTGACACTTTGAAGGCAAGGATAAGGGATGCTTTAGCGGCGGTGACTGAAGAGACGTTGGAGAAAATATGGAGAGCAGTTGAATATACTCGTAGACTAGATTTTCTCCGGGAAACTAACGGAGCACATGTTGAAGTGTACTAATGCAACACAAAAACTTCTTGCGCTGAGGTAGACGTTGCAAAAACCGTATGTTTGTACCTAGCATAGCTTTTGTGTAATATATCTGTGAAACCAGGGAACGACTTTATGCTCGCCCTATATTATGTACACCGTTATCAGAAGAGTTTATTCAGACATGCGTATGAACATATTTTAGCCTATTTTCCTTACTTTGAAAAATGAAAGTAGGTTTATGCATTCTCTATGCTGTCCGTGAATCCCCTTGTATTAACTTCTTAATGTCAACAAATATTTATGAAACTTGGCATGTACCGTACATCGTGGCAACTGAACCCATCTCAGCGGAGTACTCATAAATTTCTACTAACACTCTACAAGTCTACACGTGTATCCTATTGTTACTAGGCAACGGCTCAGCGAAAACGTTGCGCGGCAACGAATACACGCCAAAAAAGTAGAAGAATTGTTGGACGCGTCATTTTCTATGAGACTCTTGTCATACCAAGGAAAATAAGCGACTAGTTCTTCCCAGAACTTCTTGTATTGAATATGTTAAATGCATTACGTATTTGTTTACAATGTTTAACATTTCAAGTAAATGTTTCGTTTAAACACGAAAGACTCTGAACGTAACAAGTTCAATTTCTCACCTGTACAGCGGAATGCCTGTAGAGTCTTTGAACCAGAGCACCATGTTGATCCTGTCCTTTGGGGATGGTGGTGTGACGTCACACGGCAGCTCAGCATTCGTGCCACTGACAGCCCAGACCACATGAGCCGGGACTGCAACAGAGTGTACATGTACTGCTGTTGTGTTTACTTGTCCCAGAGTTGCGTTTCGTTATCGTGTGTCCTCAGGCAGGCAGTATTATTGACTCAGGTTAACCGATGTTAATATTGTTCTAACATCACAGTACAATGGCACTAGTGTCTGCATTAATTTGTTTATTTTGGCGTAAATGTTATGATTTAACTACAACGTTAAGTTATAAATCAAGTATAATTTAATATTACTTGAACACTTAGGGATGTCGGAGTTTGACTCCGTTGTCCTAAACTCCAGGACCCGAATAAGACGACTACTCTCACAGTAATAAACTATTCTGTTACACCATCAATGTTGTAATTATTGAAATCATGTTCCTATTTATACTAATTTTAAACGTTTATGTTTATTACTAATTCAGTCGCGTGCCTTCTTAGCAAGTTCTCTAGCTTTCACTCATATTCAATCATATTTTTTTCCCCTTGACACTACAGCCCCAGTGGGCCTAGGCATGTCTCCATTAACTTCTCTGTTCACTTCGGTTTTTCTTGATCTTACACATTCGGTAGGACTCCTTGGACGCAAGGCCTCTACCTGTACACAAACACAGAAAAACGCACACACACAAACTAAACATCCATGCCTGAGTGGGATTCGAACCCACGATCCCGGTTTCCAAGCGAGCGAAGACAGTACGTGCCTTAGACTGCTCGGCTACCGTGACCGGCATTCAATCATATATATTTATATTTTCTTCCGAATGTTCCTTGTTCTTGCATTCTGCAGTCCTTCTAATATCTGTTTCTGCATAGATATTCCTAAATATCTTGCTCTGAACCTCGTCCCTCCAAAACAGCTTCCTTTCAAGCCCCAATGTATGGCTCCATTCGTCCACGACCAATTATACACATATCTTATGTTGCTTTACAGTATTTCAATCCGCAAGATTTTAAACGCTCTAAACACCATGATAGTGAAATCCTCACGTTTAGAAGCTTTTCTGTAAGGAAAATAATTTTCATCTTTCTTGTTTTATTCAAGGAGCTCTCAGAGTTGCATAAAAGGTGCAACCAATGAGTGCGGTTGCGTCCATTTCCTACATATATTGCAATAAAAATTTGTACCTAAACAGACTTCGGATGGCAGGCTCCAGGAAACACAGTAACGAATTTTCGCTTTCGACAAAAGTAAGATATTTACTGAGTACGTGGGCGAATATTACTAGTGGAGTCTCAGGAAGGTCTCTGTTCTACCTAGCTAGACAAACAGACAAATAGATAGGTAGGCGGGTAGGTAAATATGTAGGTAAATGAGTAATTATACTGATGTCACACTTGACGTTTCGATTATCATTTTTGAGATCCAGAATCTCTTAAATTTGCAGAACTTCGCTGAACAATCTGCTAGTCTTAGTAAATCGCGAGTATTCATAGTGGATATTTCTAAATTAATCTCATGTGGCTTCTGACTGTCAAGTCAGATTGAAAGTCGGAACTAGCATTTTATTTGGAGATATTCATTAGGCGGAATTTTAATTTTACGTGCGACAGAACGTAGAGATGGTTTTACTGCGAGATCACCACTGCGAGATCACCACTTCCACTTTGTTTTATCACTCTGTACAGGGATGAATGAAACGGAAGTGCTGACGAGAACCAGATTCTAAGTTGTAAGATTTGAGGCTTTCACGGCGGTGACTATGAAGAAAGCAGTCTTCTGGGATTTGGCACCGTGTATATGTGGTGTTAACCGACGTTTCGGAGGAACGTATCGCCCCCATCTTCAGGGTAGAAGAAAAAGTATAAGAAATCTGCAAGCGACAACACCGTGAGAAACGGCAAAGCAGACTGCAGACGTCGGTTAACACCACATATACACGGTGCCAAATCCCAGAAGACTGCTTTCTTCAGATTCTAAGTTATATTTTTTATATAGATCTGAGTATCGAAGAGTTCAGTTTCAACCATTCTCGTTTCTTGATTTTGCGGAAATGATTGCGTGTCACTCGCTACATAAAAATGTAAATCTGGAATAAAGAGTTTAGAAATACAGTTAACGAGGAATCACTGGTGGTTAGAAGAGTTTAAGCTCTCACAGTAATGGTTAAGAAGAATTCTATCTTCTAGCATATAGCGTCATGCAGTCCGGTGAATTTCAACCGATGCTTAGGAGGAACATGTAGCTTCCATCTGATTGGTAGCTTACTTCGTGCTCGTTTCTGCTAGGCTTATGCTTCGGGTCTGAATAGGTCTCCACGTATTCATCTGAAACATCTGTTGATTTAACCGTAATATATGGCTTTATATCATAGAAGGTAGAGTTCTTCACCGGTGACTGAAATTAGAAACTGCAAACAAGTAGGAGTGACTAATAGCAATGCGCTTCTTTAGACACGAGAAAGAAACGATACATGTAAGTTTAATATGGGGATGTTTTCGGCGCTCATACGGCATGCAGAAGATCGGATTTCGTTCTACGGCCACCGTGAACAAATCTTGGTCTCTCTGTGTACATCGTTTCTCTGAGAAGTGACTGGTTCTCAACACCCGCTAACGTGGGGGGAGGGGGGGGGGGGAAGAAAAAGAAAATAGTTTGGAACCTTGGCTGGGTTTGTAAGGTCTCAGCTTTTCACGGCGGTGGCTATGAAGAATGCAGTCTTCTGGGATGTGGCGTCGTATAGATCATGTTTTAACCGACGTTTCGGAGGAACGCATAGCCTCCATCTTCAGTATTATATTTAAGCATCCTGTTGCACTCTACACGATAAATGATATGAACTCCGTCCCAAGTGCAAACAGTATATTATATGTCCTTGATCTTGCTCTCCTTTACACTACATGTTTCGGCCTCAAACGGCCATCATCAGGTGTATACACTCACGTTGCTGTTACACTGCACTTAGTTTAAAATTTAGAATTTAAAAACACATTGTTCCTTTCGTTGTTATTATCAACATCTACTTCGTTGATATCTGTCTGGTTTAGAGATTATTTTTGTTACACACTTTAATTTTGATTTTTCTGAATTAGCACTATAAAATCTTTCGTTC